AATATCTTCTTGAAAATTTCGAAAAAAAAAATGTCAATATTTTTCTCTAAGTGGGCGCCAATTTTGGATCACCTTGTATGGAGGAAATGAGCGGCATTTACATTCGATTGGAAACCCTGGAGGGCTTCTGAACCGGGATCAAACAAAACTTGGGGAATTATCTGGAGATTCCCAAGCAATTGAAACACCAGACAAGCTAATTCCAACTAGTAGGTAAATAAAGAAAATCAAGAACGCAGCAACAGTGCCTAGCCCCCACAGAACTTTCGTTGCAAAAATCAGCACCAATTGCGGTTGCTTTCGAGCTATTCAACCAGCCAATTACAGGACCTACGTTAGCAATAAACAGGCCCACATATACGGGCTGTACAGGAAGTCGACAATACCGGTATAAAGTAAGCCGACAATCTTGACGGTGAATTTTATGCATAAGTTCAAGTGAAAAACCTCTGAGCTGATTATCGTCCTTCCTAACGGTAAAAGTGGCAAATATTGGTCATGCTCTGTTTGGCTCCAATTGTATAATGAAAATGCAATTTCTCTTGTATAATGAAAGAGAGCTCCTTTTACGTTTGATCAATACTGGGGAAATTCACACTCCTCATTAGATCTCAGATCGCCTTACCTGCTGGCTAAAGCCCGTGTCCCATGCATCCGTTTGTACGATGATACGAAAGTGTTTCTATTGGTTGGAGATCTGTCAATCCGTCCGTCGTCGTACGAATTGACAGATCTCCAACCAATAGAAACACTTTCGTACCATCGTACAAACGGATGCAAGGGACACGGGCTTAAGAGGTCGCAGATAGGTTAAGCATTCGCACCATAAAGTAAAATTATTTTACTTACTCTATGATTCGCACATTAAATAAGGAAGTTTGGTGTAAAACACGAATGACTTACTTCATAGACGTTCGGGTGCCAGACTTTGGTCAAGAACCTGATGGAGGGTGGAGAATAGGGGTAGTCGGCCGGGAACTTCACTCTTGCCTGCAAAAGAAGGTTTCATGGATGAAAATTGAGAAACTAGTGGCTGAGTAGATTGGAAGCAACCTCGGATGTTTTAATTAACGGCTATTGCAGTTGAATATCATTAAAAGTTTCACCTCTGACCAACATTAGAAGACGGCCTTTACCGTTATCCAGTGGCGTTCTTACCTTAAAGCAGCCTCCCATGTAGAGAGTGTCGGGGGGGCCGAAAATAGCGACCTCCCATTCGAAGAGATTGTCGTCGTTGACGAGCTTGACGCGAAAACCCTCCACTGGCTCTTCCTGCAACCCTTTATATTCGACTGCCAATGCACGCAAAGCACTGCTGTTGGCTCTGGGAGCGGCCATCATGCCTCGCACGGCAGGACTGTTCGAAACACCGACGATTTATAGAAAATTCCACTGAAACGGCCCTCAGGAAAATTGGAATGACGCCATTAAACACACAGCAGCTAAAATACGGCGATCTGACGATGCACTTTAATGCGGCCACTTGAATTTCAGCTGGAAAAACGCGACTTTGCTGCTGATCGACTAGCACAGCCCCAAAAGCGAAGGAAATGAAAATAATCAACAAAAACAAAGCGCTTTTGTCCTACCAATCGACGTCACGACAATGGACCTTTCGCCTTTCAACGATTTTCACTCACTGAGACTGAATGACGGTCTGTGATTGGAGCTCCCACTCTTCATACCACTGTTTCGGTCGCACTCACTGGATCAGGCCTGAAAATCAGCTGGGGACTCTCCCCGTCTCTCTCGGCAGTTGTCAATACAGTTTACCCTGCTGGGTGGGCAATTGGAAAAATTGGGCAAAATCCTGTTTTTGAATTTAGAAATTGTTACTTTTCACCTTGATTTTTATTGTCATCAAAACTGGCATTAAAACAACACTTTCTTTGGCTCAACCGCGCTAGTGGGACAGCAAAAATTCGTCTTTCTTTAAAAAAATTCCAGGTGCTAATCAGTAAACATTCACAAAAACTTCCGCTTGGCAGGCAACCAATTGGCGTTTCAAAACACATTTTCCTTTAAACTTCTCGGCCATCACTGCACCAGCACTGGAGCCAAACCGTCCCTAGAGGGCGCTCGCATTGCATCAATAAGCCGCAAAAAAACAATTTTTAACCAAAAAATCCTCAAAACGTATTGCTTACCAGCGAAAAAAACTCACGAAACTTCCTTCTGACCTCACTCTTCAGTAGAGAGTATCATATATAAAACCTGAAAATTACGATTGCGCAAAACTTCACCTAGATGTCACCATCAGTGGACGATGACGATGTGACGTTTACAGCAGTGACGTCAATGTCGCAATTACGTAAATTTCAGCTTTGAGTTTGAGGTTGTAATTGTCAATTGCTCGTCTAATTGCTGCTGATTAGATTTCTCGTTGTACTGCTGTTCTCTCAGTTCAAAGCTTAGTGGGTTCTTAGTCGAACTCAATGCGCTGTTGTAACAGATAGTACCTTCTGAAAACTGTCAGTGTTTGTTCCATTTTGTCCATCAGTTACAGTGGGGCTCCGCCTTATAATGCAGTTTTTAAGTATTTTTGCGGTGTTTTTCGTGCTGAACCAGGCATGGGCTGACAATGGTAAGTCCCCCCGATCGCTCTGTTGTAGTTTCACGCAACGAGAGCAAAAAATCAATTGTTCTCGTCTGTATTTCTAACCTACAATGTCAGTGTCAGTGTAGGACTTGACTAGATTTTCTCTATTTCTAGCGGTAAATGCTTTAATTGTGCTTAACTTTGCGTGTCCAGGCCACTACCTGGCGTTTGCAACATAAAATGAAGCAGTAGCGGCAATATGGGTGTTGGTAAATTGATTATGTTTGGTGCTAAAAATAGTCAAGGTTTTGCACTTAAACATCGAAATCTGGGACGAGTTTTCGTTTTAGAGCTTCTGCAAGTCAACGGGTTTTAGATCTAGACATTATTTTTGCAAAAATACTTCTATGTAACGTGTAAGGGCTTTTGCGACTTGTTTAAACTTGAGCATCAACTGCTCTGAAAATCCCCCCCAACCAAGAGCAACATTTTCCGTAGGATTATGGAGCATAATTATCTATTTGCCAAGCATTAATTGCCTAAATTAGTTTGCTGGCATGCTTTTATCGTCTCTTCGCGTTTTACAATGGGTTTCAACGTCTAAACTGCTTGGAATTATCGCTTTATTGGGGCTAATTTAGGCCGATTTGACTAATTCGAGCGCCCCGAAAGGGGGATTTTGTGGAGAATAATGATTTATAGCTTAAAAAACATTTTTTTTTTGAGTAAGAAACATTTGATGCTATTTATTATTACTCATTTAAGAGTGATTTTGACGCTCATTTCTTGCAACTGATGAGATAGTCCAACACCGTCTTAATAAGGGGCATTAAGACGGTGTTGGCTTGTCCGAGTCTGAGGCAGTGAAACTGAATTTATGTCTCAGGTCTCGAAAGTTATCAGTTTCAAACAACAGAAGAATTTTCCAATGCTTATTTTGCCAGAACGCCAGAAGAGATAACAGCTTTATCTCAGAAATATTGGTTTTGAAACTGCTTATTATCAAACAGAATACTGATATTCGATCAATGTCTACCTGTAATTTATTATCTTTGTTTGCGCACTTCTTAATGCTCTACTGACGCCCTAGCTATTATCTTCACTCACTTTACCTTGTTTTAATGACTTTACAATGCTTGTTTAGTCGTCAATGTGGAGTTGAGCCACTTTTATAGGCCAAGACTCAACAGCCGAAAACCCATCAGCTATTTACCCAGTTGTATGACGACAAATTTGAATGTTTTATGAAGTAGCAAGATTTTAACAAACTTTTCTTTTGCCAGTTGTGATTGAAACCGAGTACAAGTCCTCATCTCACAGTGCAGTTCTTTTCTCCCGAAAAAAGACCTTTGCTTTAAACTGCAACGTTACTGTTGATGGCTCGCCTTCAACAAACGCCATCGTGGAATGGTAAGTGAGTGCTTTAGTCCCAGTGGCAGTTTTCTAGCGGTTTTTATTGCTATTTTAGGAGAAAAAATGGCGTTTTGCTCAGCGAACTATCCAACTTAAAGGGGCGCTACAAAGCGTCCCAGAGCGGCTCTCAATTCACCCTCACTGTTGATTCTGCCGACTATCACGATACCGGCAATTGGTCATGCGGAGCGTTGATAGACGGCCAACTGAAGTCCACCGCTCAGATTCAAGTAGCCTGTAAGTTTAGCGAGTGAGTGAAATACTCGGTCTTCAGTTGGCAATTTGCAGCTACCATTGACGTGAAGATCAAGACCGACAGTATCAATGTGATTGAGGAGGAGAAACTGCGCATCGAATGCAGCGTGCTGGGAAATCCTCCTCCAGTCCTCACCTGGAGCATCAACAGCACGAATTACAATGGCTCGTATGACGATCGCGTTCAGATCCAGGACTACAAAGACGAGGCGGGCAACACCATTGAGAGTGGCGTGCTGTTCATCGAAAAAGTGAGGATTTATCTTCTAAACCAGGCAATTTAATGCGTTGTTTTGCTCGTCGCAGGCCAACAAGAATGACCGCGGATTGTACTTCTGCACGGGCACCAATCGGTTCTATGAGGGCGATTTTGTCATCACCCACAGCGTGATCCGAGTCAAAGGTAATTCTGCCGAATTTGCTCAGTTGAGGCAGGTCTTAATTGCTTTTTGATATCAGACAAGTTTGCTGCTTTGTGGCCGTTCTTGGGCATTTGCGCCGAAGTGATCATTCTTTGCGCCATCATCATCATCTACGAGAAGAAGCGCAACAAGACCGAACTGGAGGAGAGCGACACTGACCAAAGCCCCGATCAGTAAGTACTGTTTTTTCATTAAGCGCGACATTCGGAAAAAAATGTGAAAGTTTGCTTTGTGAGACGTTCGGAAAACGATTCTATGTGGTTACTGCAGCTAAAACCTCGATGTTAAGGTCTCGAGACTTACAATTGAATTTCTATTCAATTCCTAATTTTACAAGAAAAATTACGACAACATTGCCGTCCACTTATTTAGAAGAACAAACACATAAATAAAAGTATTTTACTTTTGGAGAAAATTGTTGTTGTTTCGGATAAGCGGTAGCCTAATGGAATTTTGTCTTGCAGAAAAAACACCCCTGACCACGGCAAAGACGCCAGCCTGCGACATAGACAATAAAAGGGACTTATGTTCAAACATGTTTTATCAGCAACCACAACATTCATTTCAACTAAATAGCCAAAAGAAGGAAAGTTCTATCACTAAGCGAATAGTTTGATTTTAACACGTTTGGGAGCTTTAAAGTAACTTATAAAGTAGCATAGGAGTTCGAATTAGATTTAGGTACGTTGGGCCTTGTGGTAGCGTAATTTTTGACAAAAATCGCCTTTATTAGTGGTACTTAAATAGTGTTTCCCCATGCAAAGGACCATTTGTTGATGGTGTATATAGGCACACATGTCCAAGTCTCTTACTGGATTTGTGAATTTGTTTTTTCTTTGTTATTATTTAGGAAGATGTTTTGTTTGAATATTTTTTATTAACGTTCTTTGCCTCTCCACGATTGTAAATAAACATTTTGCCTTATTAAATGTAGAACTCGATGTCAGGATTAAACGTGTATCCGTTATGTAAAGAAACTATGCAAATACACCTGTATTGTTGGTATGTTAAAAATTAGATAAATATATATTAAGAATAGAATATTTATTCGTATTCATTATTATTACTATTATTAGTGTTCTGGTCTTAATTGAATTAAAGTAATAAACGAAGACTTGCAAGTTTTATTGCCGAATGTTTTCGGCATTTATTAGTACGTTGCAGTTATAAAAAACATATTTTAAGTGTATCTGCGTACCACCAATAGTTTCATAAAATCGCCCATAATCCTGATTGAAAATGGACGTTTATGCACAAATGCGTCCTCGCCTTTAAAAAATTGTTTAGGATCCTGAAAGCCCGAAAATCTCTGCATAAAAACTACCTAAACGGAAAGATGAATGCTTCGTCTAAAACATTTATTAAAATTTATATACTCTTACATAACAATTCGTATGCCGATATTATTGTACAACGCTGCAAACTTTTCCGCAATTTATTGGCCAATAAGTCGAGAAAAAGTTCATAGCGCAGTGCCGACACCAAGGAAATGAACAGTTAAATTGTAGAGGTTCTAGAAGTATTATTGCACATAAAATGTTGTTTTTACAAACTTCTTTTTGGGTATTTCGCCTCAAAAATTTTTGTCTTTAAAAAATGATGATTAAAATTGATAAATAGTTCTCCTATTTCGCAATAAGAACGAATTATTTATCAAAAAGTAATCAAGAACTATCACCTAGAGGGTATCCTGCGACACACTT